AAGCAGCTAGACAGGAGCTAAGGGGAAAGGAAAGGGGCACTAGGGGGCAAAAAAGAGTAACCAGTGAAAACAGGGTGTAACTGTAACTAGAAAAGAACTTAAATAAGCCTTAAGGGGAATAAAACTAATGACTACAAAATAAGGAATAACCAAGGTGAAAACTAGAGCATAAGAGAAGGAAAGGAGATAACTGAAGCCTTAGAAAACATAACCTAAGCATAACAGAATCAATAACTAAAACTAGACAAAAGAATAAATAATAGCAAAAATGCTAATAAGAGACAAGAATGAAGAGAAAAAGTAAGAATTTAGAAATAAAATAAATCTTAACCATACAGAATGACATACACTAAAGTATGACTGTGAACCCAAAATCAAACCTTAAACAGAAAGTCTAGAATGGCAGATCATGACAGAGAGGACCTATTCAAAGTCCAAACATATATACTGTATATTGAGGATCTGGAAAAGGTCCGTTAAATTTGTAATAGCAGCAATTGCAACTGACGTTTGACACCCTGGTGTTTGAGCTTAAACATTACACTTTTTATAAAAAAAAAAAAAAAACATGTTGATAAACTTACCGTTTTGTTTTGTTGAAAGTTTATGATTGTAAATAAAATAAAAACTAACTTAATGGGTATAAAACCTAAATGTACGTATGACTTGAACAGAAACAATCCCCACAAACTTTTCTAAAATAAAATGTTAGCTGATTTCCTCTTATTAATGGTATGTATACTATGACCGTTTACATCTATCTGTCCAGTGAAAAAATGCTGGCTGGTATTCAGTTGAACTACATTAGAACAGTGATGGACTTTTTAACTTCAGACGAAGAGCCACAGTTTGACTTTAAGGAGGCCTGACTTTGAGATGCGTTAAAGGGGATGCACAGTGATCGGCCCCTGGCCTTTTAAAGCTCAGCGCCACAGATGCTATGAGACGGCAAAGAGTGGAGGACCGCTCGCAGCCGATGGTGCTGTCACATGCAGGCGCCAGCTATCAAAAACACACCCTCTGCTCATGGCACGCCAAGAACTAGACTACGAATCTGTGCCAGTGTACGGAGAGGATGGTGGTGATTAAGACGGTCTTAATAATGAAAACAGTAGCCTTTAGCTAACCAAATTATCTCTCCAGTAAACTCTGTCACATTCAGATTAGTGGAAAAAAGTGAATTGTTAAATCAGAGCATAGATTTTCATCAGATAAATTAAGTAAGGTGAAATTAATTTGATGCATTATCTTGATAAGAGGGAGAGATAGATAGTTCAAGGGCACACTGACTCCACTGAGCAGTGCATTGTTTCTAACCTAAAGTGAGGAGCTGATTTGTTTAGAGGGGCATTTAGTATATCTTTTTTTTGTCCTGTAATGCTGATATGGACAAAAAGAGTACTATCTGACATGAGTAAGATGAGAAAAACACAATTACAGAAATCTGATAGTGTCTGGGCTGATATTGGGGACAGATTCAGGCAATCTATCAACCGGGCATCACTTTAGAAATTAGGACAGTAATGGCTTAACAATGTAAAATGTACACACTTATACACACACACACACACACACACACACACACACACACACACACACACACACACACACACATGTGCACAAGACTGGGAGTGGCCTCACCCCTCCTGCTCTCTTCCCCCAGCTCTCCAGTGATATAATTAACGCCTAGCCTGAAGGCCAGGTTCCTTGGTCATTAATAATGCTTTATGCCAGCCGCTACTGTCACTGGAACCCAGTGAAACCAAAGTCAACGTCCTTGTCGAAACGTTGGAAAGTCTTTCACCTTCTAATTTGAGCTTTATTCACCCAAGTCTTTTGAGTCGTTCTTGTTATTGATTTTAAAGTTGTACTTTATTCATAAGCATGTCCCTCGATGCTGTAGCGGGCTGTTTGCTTCTCTTATACAGAGGAACCAGGTTTGAATCCTCGTGGAGAGGGGCATCTGCCAAGTCTGTGTACAAACTGTGATAACTTGCTGTGGCAACTTCTGAAAAAGGGTCCAGCTGAAAGCACATACTTAATTTCTTCGCAAACACCTTATTCTTATATGGTGTCTTCCTTTTATGTAGCTAATGAAGTAACATAGTGTAGAGTATATGTGAACCTACCAAACAAATTAATCTAAATAAATTGTATCAAAACTCCATTTGCATTTTGCGTGTGTCTGGCTTACTTGTCTTATGTCTATGCTTGCATTTTTGCCGATCAGTCATATAAAAGTGCTCCATAGATTTTACTGAAGTTTTACTAAATATCTTCTTACCCCTTGAACCTTTTCCCATTTAGTCATATCACAACCAAATTATGTTTTATTGGGATTTCATTTGATAGATTGACTATAGCCGAGTATAACCTGCTTTTCAAATGGAAGTTAGATTTTATGTTGTAAAAAAAAAAATGAAAAGTATGTTGTAGTTTTATATCTATCTGTACTGGGTCAGTATGTTTTTTAACTGATGTATTATTACAATTCCAGCTGGTCGATTTGGGTATGTCTGCAGTTGCTTTGCATAGAAGGGCAAATAACCTATTATTTCGAGAATAGCTTAAAAATCTAAATTAACATTGAAATCATATGTGAAAGGACATTCAAAATAATGTTTGACTGGGCAATTTCACATACAAAATGTAAATTTAACAAAAAGACTGACCTAAGCTTGAATACTGATTTTATTTACAGTCATTTTGAGGCAAAAAGTTAAATGTTGGATCAAAGCCTTTTTTATAGTTGTTGTGTCCTTAAAGGCTTCCATCAAATGGTATGTCTACTTCTTTCTACATTTCTTTTAGCTACTACTTTTTTTCTCTTGCCTTTTTTCTTTAAACTAAAGATTATTTTTATTTGAATGGCTAATAATTGTCCAGCAACAGATTCTCCAACATGAACTGTGGATTTCTGAAAACATGCTAATGTGTACAAGAGTACACATGCCCAACTATTTGCTGCTCTTTAAACTGATTCTTGATTAAATTGAGTCTTCTTCTTTTAGTTCAGTTGAAGGCAGTCTCTTTCTAGATTTATAGTTGTGCCACACTCAATAAATCTCCACAGAACTTGATAAAGGTGTTCAAAGCTTTGGATATTATTTTTACAACCTAATCCTCTTTGGAATACTTTCCACAATTTAATCCCTGACATGTCTAATGAATGCATTTGTTGGATTACATTTATGAATCTAGGGACTTTTAAAAAAAATGCTTAAATTAAATTTTATTTAGAGTTTTAGAATAGAGTTCTGAATACATAACATATGGAACATGATATATGTCTTTTTTGTGATGTGACGAAATTTAAAAGATACTCATTCCATTGCTCTGGTAATCCGATTCAGAGCAGTAGTTTGAGCTAGCTAATATAAGCCATTCTAATCATGTATTTTTTTTTTATTTCTTCATTTAAACAACCCTAGAATTTAATTGATGGATCCAGCAGTGGATCAATAGTCTAGATCGACAGAATAGCCTCGGCTGTTGTGACCGAGCCAATCCTTTCAATCATTTATTAACTCTCCGACTGACCTGGCTGCCTCCTGTCAATAGTAAGCAAAATCCCAAATGCCCACTGAGGTTCTCTGAGAGTGTTTAAAATCAACTTGACAGCTTGTAAATACTTGCTGCAACGATGACAGATATCACATTTCAGTTCAACGAAAGTTCAGATCCAGTCAAGGTCAATTGTCTTACTCCTCACACCTTTTCAGAAGCTGTTGTGGCACTACTCCTTTTCCTACTTGAAATATGTCAAATAAGCTTCAAGTTCCCCTGTAAAAAACATGGGCATCACAAAAGAGGCAAGTATTGTAATGTACCACACATTATTCAACGATCTGAGAATGACATGGGAGTCTGGGATCAGATATCCATTCTCTTAAGCTGTGTAACACGATGCAAATGGTACCCTGACTGATTTGTGTGTAAATTGCACTTTCCTCTAATCGCATGTGCTGCCGAATTATTAGGATGTTACTGATGCCTCCCTATAAGCAGCCGGGTTGCCAGGAGACGAGCTTAAACGCGAGTCTGGGCAACTGGGCGCACTGGGAGTCGAGTCTTATATCACTGTCGCTTCAATAATTAACGACAGGGAAACCAAATACTGCATTTACTTATTTATAAAGCGAGGGGAGAATACAAAAAAAAATGGAGGAACATAATGAAACACAAGAGTTCCTAATGTATGTGGTTTTAATGAAATGAAGCAGTATAGAATAAAAAAAACGACAACAAAGCTTTGAATTTCAGATTTTATGTGTTAGAAAGAAACTGGAAATAAAGGCAAAACAAATAAAGAAAAAGGCTCAATACATACTTTTAGAAGCTTTGTAGTTCTGTGTATGTAAGTTGGAACAAAAAACAAGATGACGTTAGCCTTCAAGAACAGGTGTCCCTTTCATTCTATTATGTCTGTGTAAACAGCTGTTAATAAACTGTGTTGACTCATACAGTTTATTTCTTCTATCACATTTTTAGAGTATGTTCGCTGTGAATTCCCACATGAATTATTTCACCTGAAATTTAGAAAAAAATAACCCTAACCCTGCTGGCCCCTGCCAACCCCTGCAAACTGATCAGGGGCCAACCGGTCTCTGCACAAGTGGGGGGTTTGGTCCATATTGCCGGCATGAAGTGGACCTGTTACCAGGACATGTAAGACTTTGACAGGGCTGCCCTCTGTCCCCTGTTCTGTTCATAACCTTTGTGGACTGGTGTCCTGTTCACAAGTGGTGGGAGAACTGAGCGGGAGATCGATAGACAAATCATGGTGGCTGCTGCTATAATGCAGAGGCTGCACCTGTCTATTTTGGTAAAGATAGAGCTGAGTGAAAAGGCAAACCTGTCTATTTACCAGTCGGTCTACATTTTTACCCTCACTTATGGTCATCAAATCTGGATCATGACTAAAAGAATCAAATCACGGATACAAGCTGCTAACATAAGCTTTCTCCGCTGGGTGGCTTGGTACTCGCTTAGAGATAGGCTTAGGAGCTCCAATCATTTGGTAGAACCGTGGAGTACAGCTGCTTCTCCTCTACATCAATAGGGGTCAGGCGAGGTGGGTCGGACATTTTTTTCAGATTCCCTCTGGATTCCTCTCTGACGAGGTGTTCCAGGCACGTCTCACCAGAAGGAGCACTAGAGAAAAACCCAGGACAGGATGGAGACATTCGAAGGGCCTGGGAAAGCTTCAGGCTTCTCCAAGTGGAGCTGGAGAAGTTGTCTGGGGAGAGGGAAGTCTGGGAAGACTGCTGCCCTGATGACCAGGTCCCGGGAGGAAGACACAACAAGTACAAGTTTAACCAGGTTCTGCAACTTTGCATCTCATATTATCCCAGGACTACAAATTTTTCTTCAACAACAGAGGCAAGTTAATCTCGATAGGTAAGGCTTGAGTCGGAAAATCTGCAGAAGATCTACCGATTCAGACTCCTAGCATAACACGCTTCTGCTTTAAAGGACTAATAATAAAGTGGTCTCACAGTTCTTCCGACTTGTCTCACCCCCAATTTGTCAAATATCAAAGCTTTGCTTCTATACACCAGCCACCCAAAATAACTTTTTAGGTTTTAAAAATGTGTTGCAGATCACATGCACATCAGGTGATACAATGTCCCCATGTGACACGCGGGTCATTTTGACTTTTCTCAGTATTTGACTCCAAGTTTCTTGTAATTTTACGACTTTATTCTGGTAATGTTACGACTTTATTCTCGAAAGAGAAGAAAAAAAAAACCTCTAGCCTGGCCCTAATACTCCGTCGTACTAACCAAATCTTTCTGGCAGAAAATAAAAATATATTTACAGCCTGTTATGAAATACCTGTGGTTAACCAAATGTTTGATTCCTTTCACTTTTCATTCTATGAAAAATTGATCTGAGGAAAACCCGAATGATTCAATAACTGAAAAAAAGTTTGGATTCAAGGCAAGAGGCACAGCAGTGATTGAGAGTTAAAACTATTTTAGAGAAAAGAAGAGTGAGCCAAAATTCCTCCATAAAATAAAATAGCTGACCTAATTGTTAATTTCACTCACCCACCTAACCATACTGTTTAGTTATCATTATTCATCTTATCCACCTGCACCTGCTGCTTTACATCCGGGTCAGCCCAGCTATCAGGGCCAGATCAATGAGGATGTTTGTTTATTGAGTTTGTTTGTTTGATTTCTAGTTTTAGTTGGCGATAATTGGTGATTTCCACAGTCCCTGTTTGCGTTCTCGGAGGCCAGTGGTTAGAGAGGGTGTTTTGTCGTGTCTTGGTGATTCCTGATCCTTTCCTGGCTCTTTTCCAATGAGCGTGTCCTGTTCCTGTTTTGGTTCTGTGGAGAGAGCCAGTTTAAAGTTCCATAGATTTACTGGTGGCATGTCATGTTTCTGCCTCTGAACTACTGAGCCTTCCTGTTTTCTGTCTGAGCGTGTCTGCCTGAGCTCTCTGCTGGACCAATGGAACTCTGATTCTGCCTGAACACTCTGTGGATTTCTGGAATCCTGGATCTGTTTGTTCCTGCTGGACTGTTTCCCTGTCCTGGCTCGGGCTCCTGCCTGTTCACAGAGGCTGCTGCAACGGGGACACTCTGGGCGGCTCTGTGCTGCATCTCACCGGCAGTGCATCGGCTGGATCCTGCCTCACCCAAGGGGATGGACTGAACTGTTAAACCAGGTAAGTGACTCAAACGATAATCATCTTCCGTCAGATTATCATGGTCACTTACCTGTGTTTCTCCTTAAAGCAGACTGCCAGTGATGGGTTGTGCCCCAGCTCTCCCCCGCAGTCGCAGCAGATCCACAGCTCTGCTTTGTATGTTCTGTCTGTTTATTTTCATTAAACTTTTTGAAACTTCCTACTGTCTGTTTCACCTGAATACAAGGTCCTACATTTTTAGTTCCTGACAATTAAATATGTCAAATTAAATATATGAAAAACACATGTGATATCATGAAAATTTTGAGATGATGTCGAAATTAGCTTGCTGCTCCAGAACATTTTCTGGACAAAACAGAAAGCAAATGCTTATGAAAGAATGAAGAAGCTTGCCTTTTTGTACATTATGAAGCATGGTTGGCAGAAGGTCTTGGATTTAAATCGGGTCTTTTTACATGTCTGCATGTTCATCCTATGCATGTGTGGGCTATCGCCTGATACCCTTTGCAACTCAACTGTCATTAGCAAGCAGGACCTTCTTATATAGGGAAGCAGAAGGACTATTATTTAGAGGCAGGACATTATGTGTCGTTATGTCAGAAATTTGTCTTTATTAAATTTCTACATTGTACACGATCTAAAACTATTTTTAATTATATTCTAATGCGTAAGTCACAGGAGTTGCATGAAAGGATATTTGCTTTAAACCTTGTCTGTTTTCCTGAAATTTTGTATTATTTTTCTTTGCTTCAAATAAGAGTCCAGTGACAGATATCTAGGGAAAAAACAAGCCATCTATTTTGTCTTATATAAATCTGGATTTATTCAGAAAAGTAATGGTGATACTATTTGAGCAGTATTAGCATGGAAAGATTGAGAAAAAGATAAGGAATGAACAGAGTAAACACAAAGATGTGGAAGAGGGCGACAGCCAAGGAAACCTGCCTGGATGGTAGGAAGGGGGTAGGGCAGCTTTTTGTGGAGGGTGTCTCACTGTGACTTGTCAGCTGTCATCATTCCCGTGCACCACCTGAGACGGGGTATGCCACACCCCGGCGCTCACGCCTTTGTTGCCCCTGGCAACAACAGCCAGCGAGTTTGTATGCACACACGTGGGTGTGAGAGAAAGAATAGAGGCGTGCCTTTGTGCTGCGTTAGGTTCCAGAGGTAATGAGGTGCACACACAAGCACTTCAGTCTGGTTATGGAGCTGTAGAGTTGTTGTTGCCTCAGCATTTAATTGATTAATTGTTGTAATTATTTGGAAGGGAAGGTCACTTCTACACCGAGGCTATCTGGAAGGTCAGTGTGATGCTGCAGGGACTATCATCCTCTGGAGACCACACAGACCATATGGGTGTGTTTGTCAAAGAAGGAAATCTCAGAATCGCTTCAGAAAGTACATTTCACCTGTGTTTGCAAATGCAAAAAGTACAGTAAGGAACTGGTAACTGTCACTTTATGTCCATGAACAAATTCAACAATGAATCTGGTTTTACTGTGACCCCAAAATCCACTTCTTAACATGATTTTTTTTTTCATATCTTCATTTGTCTATAGCTGAGTCCTTTTTGCCAAATAACCTGACAAAGAGCTGGCAGCCAAACACTGTGTAGTAAATACCTATGAGTGCATTTGTGTTTATGGATGTGCTAGTGTGTATGTGTGTAATTTTGGGACTTTCCATTCATTGGACAGATGGAGTGACTGTTATACTAGCTTGCTGGCATAAGCTGTACTCAGGCTGGTGTGGCTGAGAGTCTGTTTTTTGTCTGTCTTGGTTCAAATGGATGCGAATATGAATGTAAGAAGCTGCTTTATGTATACATATATTCATAATATCAATCAGATGAGTAGGTGCATGTGTGTGTTTTCAAGTGTGTCTTTATGAGCAGAAAAATAATACCTTCCATCAGCGTGTTCATCACCTCCCTCTAGCTCTGACCTTGGCAGGGAGTGCAGACGGGTCACTGAGCCAACTGTTTGTGTGATTGTGGGTCTGTTGTCAAAAAAATCTTACTAATTCACAGGGTCACTGAATGGCATATTAGGACACTTCAACAGAAAATGGACAAAGATAACCTTTGAACGAATGTTTGAAATTACATCCGAATTTGACACATAGCTCTTATCTAAGGCTGTTTTTTTTACAAGGTTTTGATCAAAACGGTTTTAAAATGACGATGTGATATTTAGAAATCTAATAACAGTTTTTGGTTTTGCTTTTTGTTACATTTCAACTATGAGTTTTTTTTTTTTGTTTTTTTTTTTTGTTTTTTTTTTTTGGATTGCATGTGCCACACCAATGTGCATACTTGTAAAGTAAATAAACAAACTACAAAAAATTAAATGTTAATATTTTAACAAATAAAAATATAAAAACTGTGGATGCATTTGTGCGATATATATGATTGCATATGCCCTGATTCTGTAATTGAATTCTAGTGCAGGTAATTGCTATTAGAAGTTATTTAATCAATAAATAGAGTGAATCTGGATGTAATTTTATTTTATTATGAAAAAAAATGGTTTCTGAGGATTTCAAAGGTTTATTACAGAACAAATGATAGCCTAAAAAACACTAAACAGCATACCTGAAGATCATGGATTAAGCTGAAAAGGTACAACAGTTGTCACAGCTCCAAATGACAACTTGTCATTTGGAGCTGTTCTGAAGATATTTGGTTAGGTTATATCCAAGTAACGTCTTTCTATGGGCAAACGACTTGAAGGCACAAACTAAACTGTTCATAATTTATTTTTTTTTTTATATGGCAGCATTCATAACATGTAGGCGAATCACTATCCCCAACCAAAAAGGCATCACATCTAGCTTTTAGCATCCGCTGTTAATTGAATCTCTCATTTCCATAACCCACTAAACTTTTGGTCCACTGGAAAACACCCTGATATTGAGATCATTAACTTTTTTCAGCAAATGGTCACAATCCTCTATTAAAATTTCAATAGATATAAGTATATTCATTTATAGGAATATTGGTCACATTCAACCCTGCTTCTTGCCCATAGACAGCAGGAGATAAGCACCAGCAACACTCGCGACCCCAGCTGGGATAAAGTGTGAAGGAAAATGGATGGATGGATGGTGACATTCCAGACCAAAATCCAATTAGGAGTTAGTATGACACAGAAGGACTTCTGATTTGTTGTTAAAAGCCACTTTCCATGTACTTTGACAGAGCTTGAATTGAATTATTTCTAATAGAAATAAAAGCAAACATATCAGTCTCTGGATGTGAAATGTTAGTAGAGACAAACTTAAAAAAGGAATACGGCTCTAAATTCTACTAAAACTAAAAAGGATTAGAAAATATATGCATGAATCTGCAAAACATTTTTAAAATTATAATGAAGTATTCCAATATATCCTTTTTGGTGCTTCAAAGTCTTAGACAAATTGAGAAAAACTGAAGGAATTAAGCATTTTAGAATTTATCTGAGCTTGGTGGTAGTATATCTTCCCTAAATATTTCTTGAAATTTGTTAGGTTAAGTAAGATATATGTAGTTCCTGGTTCAAATAAAACAGTTGACTTACAAAGGCATGTTGGAGGAATTAGATAACAGTATGATCAACCAAGACTCGATGTAGTGAAAAAAAATATTATATGTCCATGAGGAACTGGGACCCCTTTTTGTATCTCTTGTGAACTAGTAAGTGTGGCTAAATTATGATTAAGTGTTACATTCCATGTGATAAAATAAAACCCATAATATAAATTCAAAACTTGCTGTATGAACACCGTCTCCAACGCATTTGCTGCTGAAACATCAGCTTTAAAGTAGGTGCTAAATGTTTACAGTCCAAGCTTTTAGAGCATCATCAGGTCAATCATAATGGGATTATCTAGCCAAACAAGGGTGTTAGCTGGCCATACAGAACCACACCTTTCTTTGGTTTACAACCCACTGGCATGGCCACTGTCAAACAGTACTGCTGAAATATGAAATTTAAAGGATGTTATCATCAGCCAATGTGATGTGGTTTGTTGAATATCATTTCAGTAGTGAAGGTAACTTTAAAAGTTTGTCAGAAAATGTAATCCCAAATTAAAAACACATTTTTTAAGCCCTTAATTCAAGATGGCCCTGCTTTTAGTATATAGCAAAAGCATATTTTACCAATAAACGACCCTTGGACTTTTCCTGACAGAGCGGGAGAGCCATACAGGGGAAGTAATACAAGAACCACCAAGACAGGAAGTTGATTTTACTCTTAGAGATCTATTTGGAAGAGAGTATCGAGTCAAATGTTTGGTATTATCATCCAGTGGAAAGGCCCAATTATGAACTACTTTCAATTTTGTGGTAGAGGCCAGAATTTTCTTATTCAAAATATCTCCTATAAAATGTTCTGTGCCATTCCTTTGCTGTAACTGAGGGGTACCTGGTAAGCACGCAACTTAAACCTCAGTTATGCAAGAACCCTATGAGATGTTGCTCTTCTCTATTTCCAGCTGTCATTGGGATAGGCCAAAAGTTCAGTATGTTGGGCCAGAAAAGGTTTTCCTCAACATACTGTAAACACCAAATATGTTGTTGGTTTGTAGATATCATCTAATTCTTGTTGAGAAAAAACACTAACTCCAAGACTAGAGTCTTCTCTACAGTTCTCTAACAGTGAGCTTTAGTAATTATTTTACAATCCCTCCATATACATGTCTAGGGCCAAAAAAGAGCATCTACAGTAACATCTCTGCCAACCACACACATCCTTGCCAGATGCTGTTCAAACTCATACCTTCAGGGAAGGGATACACAGCACTTATGGCTAAAATCAACAGCCGCAAGATAGTTTCTTTCCCCAGGCTGTCTCTATGATGAACCCAGCGCATGCCTCACAGCCAGGGTATTCAGATATGCTGGAACATTTAAGGCATTTGCACTACAATGACCCGCCATCTTTTAACATACTAAAAAAATGCACACTTGTACAAGGAACTTTTATTCAGAACTACTGCTTACTGACTTTGCCATTACAGCTTATTTTGAAGTTTCCTGTTTTGATTCTGGTTATGTTAGAATTATCAGGCTACTGAAATTAACATTTACTACTTAAGTACTTTTTACACTTCTTTAACATAATTACAAATAGTTGTGGAGAATGCTGTAGAGAGAAATATTCAATAAATCCAAATATGCTCCTGGACGTGGCTCATTTGTCAGAATACGGACATATTCTAATCTTTAACCAGGTGTTAAAAAAATAATTCACTAAGCATTCAATAAACAAAATGCTTCATATTAGTCTGACGTGATATTCTAATATCAAATGATGTATATTCAGTAGCTGTCAGTGGCAAATCATCTCTTTATAGAAATTAATTCTTATTGAAATAAATTAACTTTCAATGTTCAAATTTAGTTTGTAATGTATATACAAAATGTATATGCTAAATGTCTTGCCTTGATTTTAGTTGTTTACAGCTTGTCTGAGCCTCACCTGCTTTTATGTGGATGCTGGGGCTTCGGATCTTGCCTGCTTGATTCTCAGCGGTGCAGAAGTACTCGTTGTCGTGGATGATGCTGTTATAGGCAGAAGGGGAGAAAGGGTAGAGCTGGAGAGTGCCGTTGGCATGAACGTGGCGTATATGGGGCACGTCGTAAATGTCGTCTCCAGCAGCCAGGTACCAACGCAGGACGGCATGGGGGGCGCCGCCCGCAGGGCAGGGCAGGGACACCCCCACTGAGCTGGAGAAGGTCACTCGCTGCAGGGAGGCGTTCACAAAGTACAGTCGAGTGGAGACAACATCCTCACTGTTGGCTGTTAGGGTGACAAGGATGAGGAGAACCCGTAAGAGGTGACTTCAGGTTCCAAACAAGTATA